TGTTTAAAGGTTTGCTTTCAAGGTGTTTTCATATATTTAAAAATTATAAAATATGTATTAAAGTTATGATTGAACTCCTTCCCATTCATTCTGAATTTTCAGTCTTTCAATTTTAAGTTGGTAATCTAACTTAGCATAGGCTTAAAGAAAGAAAAGAATCTATAATGAAATACTTTAGACTGATTGAAGTCATCTAAAACAAGAAGCCAAAAGTAAATTGTGTAACATTTACTATTTCAACTAATTGTACCACAGTAGATTTGAATCACTCTAGCACAGGGCAATCATTTGAGGAACCTTCGAATGGTCTCTTTCAAAAGATCAAGATTCAAATCATGTGATCAAAGATTTTTATTGGATTCCTCTCACCTAACAACTTAATACCTCAGGGAACAAAGTTTGCATTTTAAAACACCTGGCACTATTTCACTGCAGATCTTACAGAAATTCTCTGTCTGCTTCGATAAATGGTAGGATGTAATCCAAACAGGAATGACATTGGAAACCCAGGCTCTGGGCTGGGAAGAAGAGCCATTTACAAAATCACTTTAGAACATTGGCCTCCCTTGCCCATGAGAAATGTAAAACATACGTTATAATCCCTCTAGGTTCTAATTCATTAGCTCTCTATTGTCATAGGGAAATCAATAATGTTATCACATTGTCAAAAGTTTATTTCTTTTAAAATGTGTGACATTTCATCCTTATTTTCCTAATTTGTAACATGAAACAAAAAAATGAAAAATTAAACATAAAAAATGTATAAATTAATTGAAAAATGTAAAATTTCTTATTCAGTCATATGATAACTAAAATTCTATAATCTTTGTATTTTTATAAATATCAAGGTAAATAATTCCCAATAATTTTAAGATCAAGATATTCTTATTCCTAGCACCTCCTAGATGTTAAAACAAAACCTTTTTCCTCCTTTTAAAAGGAACAATATGACAAATACCTAACAGAAATCTTGAGATATTTCCTAGCATCTGTTTATTTAAACCACCTGCTTCCTCCTGTCTAAGCAGTAGAAAATAATTGCTTTGAATGCTGAAGTTCACTGGATTGTAACTGCATGTGTAGCTTTCCATGTTCTGAGGGCTTAGTAAAATGTCACTTTAAGGCACTTAAAGCTTTTGCTAGAGGCTTTATATGTAATTTCAAATCCTTATCTCAAATCCTCACAATATCCCATAAAGTAGATGATATAACCCCATTTTACATCTGAAAATTATTGACACTTAATTTTACTGTTACTAAGTGGCAGAGCTGGAATTCAAACCAGATGTACCTAAATTCAAAGCTAGTTTTTGTTTTTTGTTTGGCTTGGTTTTGGCTTCAATTTTTTTTTTCTATCTTCCCCAGCACCACAACTAAAATATATCTCCTATATTACATGGAAATGAAAATGATTTACACCTGGATATGGAAAAGACTTAGCCAGAGGACTTGGATCTATTAATAAGAACTGAAAGAAGTTAGTGGCAAAAACGGAGAGAAAAAATAAATAAACGGCAGCTCCCCTCACTGTTCTGCCAAAATGTATGGTATTAAAACAAATGAACAAAAACTTCTGATTCCTAGTGCAAAAGCAAAGAAGAATGCTACATATAAGCTACTCAGTCCCACTTGTTTCCTCTTGTTTTGTTTCTTTGGTGCTAACCACCTTATTTTTTTTCAATAAAGCTTCTCTCACTCATCTTTTAAGTGTTTTCATGTAATTAGGTGAACAGAAGGAAGCACAGAATTTATTCTATATAACTCAAGGTTGCATGCGATTAACTTTTACTATTCCCTAACTTTTGCTCTAGCCCCGCTGGCTATGCAGTTCATCAATGGCATAGTGCCTAACATACCATAAATACTCTATTAATATTTTATGGTCAGTAATCAGGAAACCAAATAGGTCAAGTGAGCAAATAGATGCCATAGAAATAAATCAAGAGTACTCCAGAGAGCAGTTCGAGAAAGAACAGAGGCAAAAAAAAAAAACAAAAAACCTGTCCTAAGTAGTAGGTAGTTAAATGGAAAAAACTGTCCCAAAATTTAGTGGCTTAAAGCAGGGTTC